TACATAAAGCTAAAGGGACCCACTTTTTTAAATAAGCTGATTGGCTATAATATTAGCTATTTTATGTATTTATTATTATAATTCAAGTATTTTATTAGATTTATTATTAATTATTTAAGCTTTTTTGAAAATTAAAAATGTAGTTTTCTTGTTAATGCTCTAACTACACTATACTATAAAAACTACAAAATGTAGTTTTTGAAGTTTTAGGCTTATAATAGTATATAAGGACCCACTTTTTTTAATATTAGCTTATAATATAAAATTTATACTAGTTATTCGTAAAACTTATAATTCTATAAGTATTTTATTAGATTTAATATAATTTTTTATATTTGAAACTACAAAAACTACAAAACTACAAAACTACACTACAGTTAATGCTCTGCCCACAAATAACCCAAGAAAAACTTGGATACCCACGGGTGCCCACGGGTACCCGTTTTTACACTCTAGTCCACGGCGCATCGGCTCACCTGCGAACCGCACTACGGAGTAGACGATGGTGAGTCTCGTGGGAATTTCGGTGACGTGGGGACAATTAATTGATGTCCTGTGCGGATAAGAAGCATAAGGTTCTACCCGCTCCCCAAAACTGCTGCGAAAGTTGACTTCATTTACCAAAGGACTGGGATATTCGACGAAGAGCACCGCAATACCAATACTGTCACTGATCGATGGCATGGATAGAAATACGAATCGGACAGCTCGCCAACCGCAACGGCCACCACACGCTCCGAGTGAGATGGCGCGTTGCCGATGAGCCCGGGTGGTAACTTGGTGGCGTACTCTGAATGGCAATCAGTGATGCTTCCGGCGACAAGGACGCTCGCACTGGCACACAGAAGGTCCGTTCCCTGGCCAGACCAGACTTCAATGTTCTCAATCCGGGGGGTTTTCTCGGCGCCAGTTAATCCTGAGAGAGGCTGAAGTTGCGCCAAAGCTGCTTAGCTAGCCACCATACGGAGTACAGGTAGAGGTACAACGTTTGAGCTTAGACCGCTGAACGATGCCAAGCGTGGCGTTAAGCAGGCAGGCAGCAGCAACACGGTGATGAGATGTATCAAATCCTTCCTGGCTTCCCTCCTCTTGGGTCAACTTGGATGTAGTTAGACTTGGAATAGTCTGATTACACCCTCATACACGTCACCAAGGAAGAGACGGACAAAATTTGTCTTGTTGCAACACACGGGACCAGTTCATTACAGGTTGGGAGCATGCCTTTGGACGTCGTCGAATCCAGTGGGCAGTACATGACGACCAACGGCGAAACTTGTTGCACAAAGATATCGACTGGGCGCCCGGGACTGGCCCAAAGATATTAGAAGATGGACGATGCAGTACGGGGGCAAGGATTCGAGAGTTGGGGTCTACAAGTTAGGGTTAGGAGCTCCTTTCAAGATTGTCTCTCATGTGTTGCACCGGTCGGAGAAGGGGTTGCTACAACAATTGCCATTGTTAAGGAGGTGCTCCGTGTGGTGACGGGTAGTCGTAACTTGTCCAATCAAAGTCCACTGAATCTATGTTAATTTCAGTTTATTCATTTGATTCCATGCCAGTGACAAGGCGGAGGCCTGGCTCAGTGATGGCTGCTACCATTTGCCGCCAGTGAGTGACCTCTTAGTTACGTCCCAGCCGCTTTGTTTCTCCTAGGAGATGCAGCAATAATATTCGTTTGGTGTGCCAATCAATCATCATGGCCCTGCCTGTTGCCTGGCGATCTGGCCGCCGCCACCACGTTCCGCATTCACGCCGTGGCACTCACATCAGTCAGATGACACAGGCGGCTCAAGCTTAAAACTCGACACTTTCTCCCTCTACCTACCGTGATCCAATTTTTGTCAGGGCTCTATACATCTTCTGGGTCAAATGACTGCAACAAAGGATAGACTATCTGTTTCTGTCAGTTTTTGTCCACTACAAGGAGCATCACAAGACCCGTTGTACCGCGAGCTCTTCAATCGACAATATTGCCAACACAAGCCTGCAGGCTAGTATTTTCATAGGGATCAAAGAAGCATGGGACACTAGCCTAGATGATTTGCCAATAAAGCACACGGTTCACAACGATGGTATTTGACTGCCGACCGCATTTAGAATTCTCGCTGCTTGTCAAGATGACGGCAAAACGCAAGCCACCAATCAACACAACGCATCCGACGCCAACTTGATGGCCTTCAAGGTTGGCATCTCAGTTGGCCCACCTGTATTATATACATGTGTCGGAGCATCAAAACAATGGCAGATGCAAGTCAGCCCCATGGGTATGACAGATATGACGGCAGTCCTCTCCTCCTGGCCCCAATCACATGGCTCAACGCCCCGTCCTGCAGGAAAGAATGTATTGTTGTTTCAAACTTTTTCCCTCTCTTTTTGTCGGCATGGTTTGACAATGGAAAACATTCCCTGTTCTCCCCCACCACGGCCATTATTGTTCGTGCAAGGTGGCTTGGCTCAATACCGACCGAAACGACGCCGTGGCCGTCGGGCGCTGGACTATACACACCATCTCTCCAGGAATAGCACGGCCGGGACGTGTCGAATTAGAGTTGTGTTACCGAGACTTGGCGCAGGGCTCGTTTATCAGCGAACAACTGTTGCTTGCGTCTGTCTCGTGGTGCTTGTAGTCTTATATCGCTTGTGCGGCGGCCAGGCCACGCCGAATTATCTGATCAAACGTTGCGCTTGTGCCTGCGCTTTACCGCTGTTTGCGGCCTCTTGCAATTTGTACATGTTGGCAATGGGAGGCAGGATTTGGGTCGTCTTGGTTCAGCTCCCAGGTTTCGCGTACATGTACCGAGTATATCCTGGGAGACGGTCGACTTGACCAAGTACTATTCACCAATGCCCACACCGATTGGCGTATTGGGCCTTTGCTCCCGAATGTCAAGAATGTCTATTCTTGCTCACGGTAAACGCGATAAACGAGCTGGGAGCCACCCTGAATATTGGCAAGCCACAGCGTGTCACAAACCAACTCGCGCAGCATCTCATTCCCCGGCCTGCTGCACGCCACGCCCCCTGCCTCTTACATTGTCGTCAGCAAGCTTCACTTTCGGTCCAACTGTTTGGCCATGTCAGCCAAGCACCCGTCAGCTCTCAGCAACCAGGCGCCAATCAAGAGACGAGACGTCGACGGTGGGCGGCGGTCTGGAGGCGGCCAAGGCGGCCGAGGCGGCGACACACAACAATGCAAATGCGCCCACGGCCTTGGCTGGCGAGTCTCGCCTTGTCCTCCGACGTCTCGATGGTAGCCGTTTGATGCTATTTAACGGCATTTTCACCCTCGCGGCTGCCCCTCTTTTTTCCCCACGTATTTAGATCATGTCGCAGCCGCCCGGTGGTTGCTGGTTCCCACGGCCTGCTCGTCGCAGGCAATCCTAATTATGGCCAGTTTGGTTCCAAATGTCTGGGCAGCCATTCTCATTCCCGTGCCTGCGTCCACCCTGGCCGTCGCCCTGCGGCTCAAGGCCAGGCGGATGACGCGCATGGGCATGGGACGTGACGATGGCTTCGCCGTCGCCGCCTGGGTAAGTTGACCACGGCCTCTCACCGAGCCGCATTTGTCTCTGCATGCTCACGGTTGCATCCCTAGATCTTGGCCGTCGGCTATACAGTCGACCTCATTGTCTGTAAGTCTTGTGTTTTGGTCAAACAGACGCCTGCTCCTGCCCGTGGTTGTGCTGATACCAGCCCAGGGGCAACCTGCTTCAAGCTTGGCCAACCCATCGGTTCCTACAGCCAAGAGATGATCGACTACTACACGGAAAAGTCGACCTTGATCCTCTGGACTAGCGAATTTTTATACTCTTGGGCTATTTTCTGCGCCAAAATAGCCGTCCTCTGCTTCTTCCTCCGCGTCTTCCGATTCTCCTCCATCCGTATTCCCATCATCCTCCTCATCACCTTGTGTTCCATCTGGATTACGATACGCACCTTTTTCACCCTACTACGCTGCAGACCTGTTCAGGCTTTCTGGGTCCAATCTATCAAAGATGCCACATGTTTCACAAACGTCCGTGCCTATTACCTGGGCACAGATGTCACCCACTCCTCGATGGATTTCATCATCTTGGCTCTTCCCATATACGAAGTCTCCAGAATGAAACTCCCGTTTGGCCAAAAGATTGCTGTTGTCGGCCTCTTCGCCACCGGATCTCTGTATGTCTCTTGCAGCAATGCTTTTACCTCACCAGCCCCCCGCAACTTGCTCATCTGTGGTGTGTTAGTGTCGGAATTGCGTCCATCTTCCAAATCGTCGAATCTCAGAATTATGATCCCCACGAGCTGCCGTATGACCTGGCCCTGTGCATGGTTTGGGGAGGTGTCGAACTCCATCTGGCCGTCTTTATAGGTAAGTGGGAAGGAAAACCCCCATCTCTGCAACACTGCAACTCTCTACTCACCAAACTCAAGGTTCTCTCATTCTACTCCGACCGATATTTAGCAAATTCGTTCCTGGTCTTGCCTCCCAAGCAGCTAGCAAGGCTGCGAGCCGCCCGACTCGTTCGAGTGTTGCCTTTCAGCCGGGGGAGAGTTCCCGACGCCCTAGCAGTCTGCCAGACGACGCTGAGCTAGACATGGAGGCCCTTGGTCCAACTACGACCATCAGACGTGGTAGCTCACTAGCCCTCAAGGGACACGCCTCCAGCTTGACACCGATCTGTATTCATAATGAGGAATGCGATGCAGAAACTTTACCAGATCTTCAAGATAATGATTCAGGATGCTCGCAAAGTACTGCTGTATGAAGTGACGTGTGCTTTGCAATACCATGTCCCGGGTCTTATTCCGCACTCTATCCCACGAGGTCGATAGCCGAGGAAAGATTAATTGCAACGGACCCGGTTCTGTTGTCCGAAACAGCAGCTCCATGCTTGTGGCTATTCAAGCCCTCTCCGTGCTACCGTCGGCATCCCCATGAGATACCCTGATTATAGTAGCAAATACAAAGCTACTACGCCGCTTCCAGCCCCAAATGATAGCCCGTGGCCTGTTGTCGAATATGGCATGCATTGATCTGTCTCTAGCTGGTTCCAGGAACCATGGGCTATCTAGTTAGGGTTGTGATAAGCCTTAGGGTTATCACGATACCAAGGGAAGGATGCGGGAATAGATGCGCACCAATAAAAATAGCAATTGCAGCTAGAAAGTCCATATAAAGGGTTTAGCATAATAGCTGCCCGCGGCTCACATTTATGGGCCTAAACATAATAGACAAACAGAGCACCGCCAATGATGGCAATGTCTTACAGTTACGACACATTATGAAATATATGGAAATTATTAAAATATAATATAACGTCGGCCTGAAAAGTTACTCAAAATTCTAATAATATAATGCGAGCATTGCTCTGCCCGCAACTCGCGTGAGAGTTCTTATAAGCCGTGGGAACGTGAGCCCTCATTCCTTGCTAGCCCATCTAATTTTATCAATAACCAGGGAGTGTGGCTAGGGCTTGGAACAGTATTCGTATATAGCTACCGAGAATGCCGCAGATGCAAAACGGTACGAGTTAAAAAAGTCGTTCACGATTTCGTTTGATGGAATCTATATAGCTAATGTCAACAGGCAAGGTTGGGCTCTAACCTAGACCATCACGTCAACTATCTAAATGAGACCAAGGTGCTTTCTATCTATCGGCCCACACTCCTATTGCCGCTAGGTAAGCCACGCGTAGAAGAGCATAGCCGTGGATTTTGCACTTCTGGGAATTTAACTAAAGATTTCCACCGGAAACATCTATTATAGCTATAAGAGAACGAGTAGCAAGTATATAGAGTCTTTAATATTATAGTCTTATAAGATTAAAGCGTAGAACTATACTATTCTTATTATAGGGTATTCTCTCGCTTACTAGTAATATTTCACTTTAATTTTATTCTATATTTTAGTTAAATATATATTATTTAGATTAGAGTGTGTTAAGATTCTTATTCGAATTGTTTTGACCATCACTTCTGGTCTAGTCTCTGGGTCAGTCCTGGAACATCGAAGCATACATCTCAATAATAACAAGGCTTAGCTGGTCAACATGTTAGTTGATACATTGCTTTGTATATAACCATTCTACCTCTGCAGTTGCTAACTAGTAGCTGCAAGACCCACAAATACCGCGAAATGAACCATCAATTCTTTTGTCAGACTAGGTTTTACCTACCTCGAGGCTCGATATACCACTTTGCTAATGGCAATCGTTGAGGTAAAAGTTGCGAAACCACTAAATCAGATCCGTCAACAAAAGGCGCTATATGAATGAATCAGTCGGCACTTGCACCCCGATGTGAGACTTTATGGGCCGTTCCTGGGAATGATAGGTCATGGAGCAAGTCGTCCAAGTTTCGTTATGACGGCTCTCAGCTATACACACCTACCGCTTCGTTGTCTGCCTAGGACATACTAGGACAGGTGTACGCCTCTCCAACCGTACTATTCCGCAGGTGCGGGACAATATATTGGTTTACACTGCTACAGGCGCTTGTACATAATTTTCCAAATTGTGCTCAAAACAGATACTAGGCGATTTCCTCCAAGGATGGGCAAATACTCATGAACCCTGACCGCAGTTCAGCAGAAAGGCGATCCAAAGTGGCGAGACAGGAGTCAGGGCAAACAGCGAGGCATGGCAGGGCAAGAGACACATGCGAGCTCAGGAGTGTTTGATTTGTCGATTGAATTGCTTCTAGCCTCTTAGTAGAGATTATCTAGTATTTTACATACGTAATTATACTATACAGATTCACCCGAGTTATTACTTTGTGGCCTCTCGCCGTCATTCCTCAGCGGGTCGAACGGCTGCCATCTCCTTTGAGATTCTTGGCTCCAGCGCATTTGGTCTTCCAACCCAACCCTGCTCTTTCGTATAGAATAACTTCGCGCTTGGGTTCCGTTTCTGTCCAATGTTCAATGTAGCAATGTGGTGCGACTCCCGGCTGACAACGCCAGGCCGCAAGGGGTTCTCAATAATCTTGACGTCGGACTTGGCTGTGTCGCCATGGGATACCGGTGTAGTAACCTCACTGGGGCTACTCAGAACCTCTCGCAGTCCAGTCTCACCCAAGAGTCTGATACCCTCTTTTCGCACCGCCGGGTTTGGAAGCTGGATCGTTAGCAAGCCACCTTGCAGAAGTCAGGATCATCGTCGCCACGGTCGGCCTTGGCGAACTTGTCGCCTTCTCCCTTGAATTTGACATGCCAGGTCCGGACCTCAAGATGGCACTCGTGGGAAGGAGGGCACTTGTCTTGTGTAAAGACATCCATAGTGAGGATATTGGTAGTGCTCAGCGACTTGGACCGTTCGTAGGAGATGCTGCCGCCCGAGCCGGAATACTGCTTGATGGCAACGTTTACACCAATAATACGCCAGCCTCTGGTAAGAGTCATCGATAGCGATTGACTCTTGGCGACATTTATAGGCTTTTCATAAGTGCCATAGCTGGTGAGCTCACTTTGAACTTCGTAGTAGACAGTCGCACAATTGACATTAAAAGGATACTCGTACGGACGGCCTTGTTCAGCGTGCGAATCGAACCACGGCTGTTTGTGGGGGTCAATTTTGAGCTTTTCCTCGATCATTTTCTTATTTTACAAATAGTATTCGGAAGTTTCATTGCTTTCCAGCTCCAAGTTCTGTGTGATAAGGGCTTAATAGAGGGCTTGAAGCAAAAGGGCTTAATTTAATAATAATCTTATAGGATATTAAAGGTTCTTAGTTCTTTTAAGCTAAAGGGTAAGGGGAGACTATCTTATATATATAAAAGAAACGGCTTATACCTAATATACCTTATAATTCTCATAATCTCTTTATATAATAAAGGGCTTTTAATTCTTACTTAACTTAATTCATGTAATATTAGCTCTCTTCTTTTATAAGCTTAACCTTAAGTAATATAAGGTTATTTATACCCTTTAATTATAAGGCTTATTAAAATTATTTAGCTTATATTATTATAATAGAAACTTTATACCTTTACTTAAGAAGTACCCATAAGGTTCTTAAGTTTAATACTTTTTTATTAATTAATCTTTTTACTTAATTAAGTACTTTACGTTATTATTATTAGTCTATTAAAAGTTTTTAATTACTTTTACTTAATAATCTTTATTTACCTTAATAGGTAACGCGTTTCGTAAAATTTATATAGTATTAAAAACTTTTTAGCTATTATTTATATAAAATAGCTTAATTAAGAAGATATAAAAGGAGTTATAAATTCTTTAAGAAGCTAATAAAGCTAATTATATTACTATTAAAGAGATTACCTTAATTATTTTAAAGGGCTTTAATATCTTTTTATTTAATTTCTTAATAAGTTACTTTATCTTAATATTTTAAGCATTTAATATTATAAGTTAATTTACTTTATATTTAAGGGCTTTTACGCGTTATTAGTTAAACTAGTCTTTTATTTATTATTAGCTTTATTTTAAATATTTCTTAGCCTTCTTATATACTTAGATTATTTAATAAGAGTATAATTTACTTTTAGGGTTTCTAGATTCTTCTTATAACGTGAATAGGTTACTTATTAAGAGGTAAAAGTTATAGTTCACGTAAAATAACGTTATTTTAATTAAAGCTAATATAAAGTTATTATATATAAATTTAACTATTAAAAGAAAGTCTTTTTAGTTTAATATTTTATAGTTTATAAAGGCTTAAAGGTATACTTTAAGGGTTTAATTTATACGCTTTATTTATTCGTTTATTTATAAGTGAAAGGTAATACTTATTTAACTCTTAATTTTTATAAGCTTAAGAAAGTTAATTTATAAGTATACTATAAAACGCGAATCTTTATTTAATATAATATTTTAGGGTATCTTATAATACTTATAGTATACTTAAGTGAAAATATAAATTAGGTTCTTCGTTTTCCTTTATTATTAGGCTATAAATTTAATTTAACGTTAATAGAGTTATTAAGAGAGAATAAAAGTGTTTCTTTTATAAGACTATTAGTATTAGCTAGTCTTTACCTTCCCTTTTATTTAACTTATATTAAAGAAGTTAAAAAAGAATATTTACTTTATTATTAGACTTTTTTAGCTAATAATTAATAATAAATTAGAATTCTATTAACTTTTAAGCCTATTAAGCTTAATAGTAATTAAGAGCTTTAATTATTATAAAGTAATTAAGATTTTAATAATTAAAGTAAACCTTAATATAATATATAGCACCCTTTAAGTACTGATACTAGCGTTTAAATAAGTTTATTATAGCTAAAAGCTTCTTATTATATATCTTATAGTTTATCTCTACTAATAATAGCTTTCTTAAATAAAATACTATAAAATATTACTTTCTATTAAAACCTTTTTAAAAGAATATTACGCCTAAGATAAAGTTTAAAGCGTTTACTTTAATTTAAAAAGGTAAGGTTAAATTAAAATAAGTTAAGATTAAAGCTATATAAAAGGCTACTTTAAGTTAATTAAAGGCGTTTTATATTTTTATTATTTAAGCCTTAGGTTTTAAAACATTTATAAGAGCTTTAATAATTTTTAAAAACCCTTTAATAAATCATTAATAAAAATTAATAAATTCCATGAATTTTTAAATATTCTTAGCGTTTTTAAGCGTTTCTTATACGCGAATATATTTAACCTTCTTCTTAAATATTAAAATACCTTTTATAGAGATAATATAGCTAAGAAATTCCACTTTTAATACTCTTTAATAGTATTTTTAAGAGGCTACTATTAAATTATATTAAAAGAGATAAGTAAGTATCTTTTTAATTATAGTATTATATTCTTTAATAAAGCTCACGTAAATAAGAATATTATTTAAGTATACATTAAACCTCTTATAAATTTTTAAACGTTCTTAGTATTCTTAAGCGTTTTTTATACGTGAATATATTTAACCTTTTTCTTAAATATTAAGATATCTTTTATAGAGATAATATAGCTAAGAAATTCCACTTTTAATACTCTTTAATAGTATTTTTAAGAGGCTACTATTAAATTATATTAAAAGAGATAAGTAAGTATCTTTTTAATTATAGTATTATATTCTTTAATAAAGCTCACGTAAATAAGAATATTATTTAAGTATACTAGAATATTAGCGTTAATTAAGTCTTAAAAAATACTATTAATTATTACCTAAAACGTTATAAAAGCGTTAATAAAACCTAATAGTATTATTATATATATAAAGAGGCTATATTTACACCTAAAGGCTATCTTTAATTCGTAGCCTTTTACTATATATATAAGGTTAAATCTAGTTTTAAGGTTAATTTTTAAGAAGACTATAGCTTCTTATAAGCGGTTTTAAAGCTTATAAATAAGTGATATTAGGTACCTAATAGGTATTATAACTTTATTTAAACCTTTATAATTAATAACTAATTAAAGTAAGTCTTTTAGGTCTTTCTTATTTATAAATATTAAAGAGGCGTTATAAGGTACTTTAAATTTTCTAATTTAGCTAGATTTAAGCATTTTATTTAATTAAAGACGAAGAGCTTTAAGTTCTTAAACGAATATAACGAAAAGAGGTCTTTATAATAAAGATTTTTCTTTTATTAGTTTAATTTAATAATTTTACGATTAATAGTTTAAAAAGTAAAGAGCTACTTTAGCTAATATAATAGGGATAAATTCCTTAAGTTTCTTAGGTATTATATTTAAAGCTACTTATATTATTAATTTTACTACTATAACGCGATTTTTTATCTACTTAAGTCTTAGTAAATTTAGGCTTATATAGTTCTTTTTATAAAACTTTAAGGTAAACTTTATTTTATTTAAGTTATTATTCTAAAGGTTTATTAGCTAATATTACTTTATTTACTAGTAGAAAAAAATAATATTATAATTAAACTCTATAGCTTTTAACTTAAAGTTTACACTTATAAAGTAGTTTTCCTAATACCTTAAAATAATAAGGCTTATATAATAGTAGTTATTAGAGTTACTAGGTGTAACGGTGGCTTAGGTTCTAAGGCACAGTAGGTCTGTTTCTTAGGAAGTAAGTTAGGTTAAATGCTATAAAGTAGCTTTATTTAATTATAGGAATACCTTCTCCTTAAGTACTCGTCTATCTCTCTATTATAGTCCTAGATCGATTGGCTTAACCATTGATCCCTTTAAACCTTGATCGACTAGCTTAAGGTTCGGTTGGTTTAATCCTCCCTAGTCGATGTGTTCGAACATCAAGGCTATTAAAATAAGCCGGCTTAAGTGTCGTGCGTTTTCTTCCTTCCATTATTATGTGCTATTATGTCAATTAACCGTGTCTTAAAACAGCGGTTTAAAGCTTCGTTTGCTTCTTCCCTTCACCGGGATAACCTTCTTTCTGCGATAATTAATAATCCGTCCTTATCCTTTATAAAGGCTTGCGCTTGCTGCGCTCGTATAGGACTTCCCTAATATAAAGCCTTCATTTCCAATTTAAGTTATTGTGTAAAGTGTGTGGTGGATAAGTAAGGGAATTATAATATTACGGGGGTAACCCCTTAACAGCTTTATAGCATTGCGAATTAATATTATAAGCTTAAGAGGGAGCTTAAAGAAGCTAAGAAGCGTGCCTTAACTAAGAATTAAAAGGTCTTACGTTTATGGAAATAAAAGAAATTATAGTTTAAGAAAATAATACGTGCGATTACGCGTGGTATTAATAACGTTAAAGAGTTAAAACGTGTGAAACGTGAAGAAGCGAAATAGCTTTAAAAGACTATAAGGGTCCTTCCTACTCCTTCCAAGGATCTAAATCCTATTTTAGTTCGTTTCTTAGATGCCGAATTTAATATTAAGTCGTTAAATAGTGCTTAGGAGATTAATTAGAATGCGTTTCTTAGGAATGAAACTATTTAAGTAACGTTAAGCAGTTCATAAGGTTTTTAGCTGGTTCCTAGGTGTTTTTAGAGTTTAAATATCCTTTTTATTTAACGAGATAATAATGATTCTTTGTGTCTCCCCGTGCTTTAAGTATTCGTTTAACTTTATATTCGTTAATATCTTCTGTTATAATGTTTATAGCGATTATAGATTTATCTAGTGCTTTCTTTAATAGCGATATATAAAATATGGGATAAATTCTTATTCTATTTAGTAATAATAGTTCGTAGTTAGTATTTAAGATTTTTCGTTTAATAAGGAATGGTCCGATCTTCTTTTAGTTAAGTTTATCGTTAGGTCGCTTAGTTTTAATGTTTTTACGAATAAGGTATACTTTATATCCCTCCTCTAGGATTAGCGCTAGTAATCTCTTTCTATTCGCGTAGTATTTTATTTGGTTCTATAAAAATAGTTTTAATGTTTTTACGAATAAGGTATACTTTATATCCCTTCTTTAGGATTAATGCTAGTAATCTCTTTTTATTCGCGTAGTATTTTATTCGGTTCTATAAAAATATCTATTTCTATTATAAGTGTTTCTGTATTTCTATTATAGTTACTACATGCATTGTAGCTGCTAGCGCGTTCACATTCTGTGTCGCATATATCTTAATAATAGGGTTAAATCCGTAATTTACCCTAAATAGTAACATCTTTATATTATTAATTTCGGATTAGTAATTCGTGTTATATAATAACTGTTTTAAAGAACATATACACTA